TCTACCAAATGCTGAGTTTATAGGCACAGGGCATCACACTTTTAGGCTAGATCCTAATATTAAAACAATTTTTGTTTCATTGTGAAACTTTCACTGGATTGTGGATTTTGGTGTCTTCTGAAATTTTGTATTATTTTTATAATACCTTTTAGAGTTTATTTTCCTTTGCAATATAGTTCATTTCTTGTTTAAGTGTACAAATAAACATAGGTTCATACATTTACATAATTATAATATTAAAATATTTGGAGGATATTTAAATGGTCTTTACAGAAGAGGGAATCTGGGGCTCCCTTTAATTAGTAAACCACCATCAGTGACCAATACCCTGGGTTTTCAAAAACCTTCCTACCGCAAGTCCTTCCTTTCTCCACCTTCACATTGCTCTCGGGTGAGGAACCCACTTCTTTAACTCCTTCTTCCTGACTCCAGAGTTCTTTGGAATCTCTGAGAACTGCTTTTAACCACCTTTCTCAGTCCCTGGATGCAGCCAAGGCTGTAGGAGCGCTTGTCTGGGCCACACCACCACATGCTCCTTCACTACTTTCTGCTGTAATCCAGTTGGTTTCCCTTTGATTTTTGTGGTTTCAATTTCAATTTCATGACCTGTTTCATCATATTTAAACTCATAGCCATATTCTTAGCTCAAAAGCTCATTGGTTAGGTATGCTACAGATGCAGTCTCTGTAGAGGAGACTGCTAGGAGATGCATCTGTGTCTACCCTGGATTGTCACAAGTATTACTACATGCTAAAAAACAGTCATGTGAAGTCCACCATGCTTTACAGGTTTCAAAGAGTGGTGATGAAGCTATAATGCACAGGGGCATCACTCCAGGACCAGTCAGCACATCCTCAAGATTGCTACTTTGGATCCCTTTCTTGGTTTCTTGAGAAAGTCTCACTGTGGGATGAAAGCTGGACTCCCATTTCCCATCCCTCTGCTGCACGATCCTGAGTGCTGGGATTTCAGGACTGTACCACCATACCCAGCAGGCCAACGGCTCCTGTAGTCTCTATTTTAGGTCTTCTTTTTCTTTCCTTTAAGTCTTAGAACATGTATTACACCCTGATGAAGGAAATGCATGCTCAAAAATTGAATGAAAAATTTGGTTTGCTATTTGACCATTGTTCTAATTTGTTTCTCCATTGCTGTCACAAAACACTCTGACCAATACCAACCTGGGGAGGAAAAGGTTTATTTGGCTTACATTTCCTGTGTCACGGGTCATCATTGAGGGAGCCCAAATTAGGAACTCAGGGCAGGAGTTGAAGCACAGGGCATGGAGGGATGCTGCTTACTGGCTTGCTTTCCTGGCCTCTGCTCAACCTGCTTTCTTATACAAAATAGGCCCACCTGCCCAAGGGTCAAATCACCCACAATGGGAGGAGCCCTCCCATATCATTCAATAATCAAGAAGACTCCGCACAGACACACACAGACAAATCCAATGGTGGCAATTCCCCAATTGAGACTCCCTGTACCCAGTTGTGTGAAGTTGACAACTAAAGCTCCGCAGCACAACCATCAGTTAATGAGTTGAAGTTTTCAAGCTCCTATTATCTTACCTCCCTGTGTCACTGTTTCAGCCTCTCTTCTTATGCTGATAAACAGTTCAATCACACTTAACAAACACTTTCCAGTATCTGGCATGTAATGCCATACAGACATGTGGCTTGTGTGTCCCTGAAAACACTTTTCTGTTTAGATATGGTGGCACAGACCTGTAATTCCAGCTACTCAGGAGGCTAACGCAGGAGATCAAGTTGAAGGCCTGTCTGGGCTACACAGTGAGTTTCAAGCCAGCCTTGGCAATTTAGTGAGACTCTGTCTCTAAATAAAAAGTTAAAAAAAAAAGTGTTGGGAATGTAACTCAGTTGTAGGGTGCTTGGCTAGCCTGTGTAAAACCCTGGCTTCCACTCTGACACACACACACACACACACACACACACACACACACACACACACACACACACACACACACACACACACACACACATAGAAACTGATTTCTAACTGCACCGACATTGAAGGTCTTTCGGAACTCTTACAGCCTTTTCGCTTTCATTTCATACAAATGATAATATGATACAGAGGATCATTTGATACGCACATAAAATACTCCAAATACATATATTTCCCATATTATATTATTTTATGCTTCATCGTGTTCATTTCAACCATAGTTCCATCATCTTTTATAAAAGGCCTATAGAATACAAAGTGAAAGTTTCCTCCTTCCACCTTTTAAATGTCACATACTTAAAGTAACTAATGTTATTTCTCTGTTTATTTATAAGGCATTTAGCATATTTAGCATATTATTATTTAGCTACAGAAAGAAGTTTCTTCTTTTTATAGTTTTAAAAGTTTCTAAATATGCACGTTTTTCACATAAATGGAGACATACTACCCTTACTAATTTGCCATTATTTTCTCCCAGATGAACTACATCATGTCTTTTAAAATGACTCACCTAATTCTGACTCCATCTTCTGTGCCTGTGTGTGTATGTGCACGCATGCATGCATGCGTGTGTATGTATGTTGCATGTGTGTCTGGGTATTCAAGTATGTGTATGTGGGTATGCAAGTATACATGCATGTGGAGGCCAAAGGTTGACTTTGGGTGTTTTCCTCTATCACCCTCCACTTGGCTTTTTGAGACAGGGTCTCACTGAACCTGGAGCTCACTGCTTGGCTGACACAGCTGGCCAGCAATCCCCAGAGATCCCACTGTGCCTTGCTCTCCAGTGCTGGACTAACAGGTATGCATTATTCCACCTGGCTTTTTATGTGAGCTCTGGGGATTTGAAATCGGGTCCTCTAGCTTGTGCAGCAAGCACTTTACTGACTAAACCATGTCTCCGGCTCCATATCCCAACTTTATAATGGCTGTATAGCATTTCATACAAAGATAATAATTAAATGCTATATTAATCAAATTTTAGGGCATTTCCTTTTGTTTTTAGTAACATAAAATGCAATGGAAAATATCTCTGTGCATATTGTTCTTATGTGTATGGTTTGTTACCTTTTGGTAAAAATTTAGCATGATTAATTGCCAATCTAAAGGTATCTAACACTCTCTTAGTGACAGATAAAACAGTAACATAGTGCACATTTTAATCTTAAGGATTTCTCGCCTTGCATACTTTAGCTATATAGTAAAATTTGAACCTAAACTTTTGCATTTATCTACTCACTCCAAGGCATGCCACAAAGGTTGTAGTGTCATAGTAAATATTCCAGCAGATAATGCAGCAAGACTTTAGAACGATGAAGCACTTCAAATAGAATATTTGAGTTAGAACTTGTAAATGAGATATAATTACAGCTCTCAAAATGCAACCATGCTATAGCAGCATGCCCAAGAGCACATTCTTTCCAGCATTCCTCCTCTTGATATAAATGTCCAAGTGTGAGCTGATGTTGCAGGAATGTTTAATGTTTCTGTAGGCAATTGGGCCAGATTTGTCTTATTTTAGGGAGCTGTGTCATAGGTTAGTTAATATTTTCTTAGTTCATTATTGCATTTTCTTCAACAGATTTGATAGGATGTATGGAAATTTCTGGAAATGTGACTTGAGCATTCCAAGCATAACAACTTCATGGAGCACTGACATTTTAGTACAACTTACATAAGGAAGATAAAGTTTGCCAGAAACACAAACTATTCTGTCGGCATAGAGTCTGAGCACACTGATTTTGCTATAATGGATTCAGGTTCATTTAAACTAAGTAGTGATCCAGTTTGTTAGCAAAACCACAGGTTATGGAAATCAGAATTTTTTTCACCTTAAAGAGTTGGGAACCAACCGCCCCCCCACCCAGGAGGAAGATAGCTCTAGTTTAAATAGGACTAAAAACATTAGTTTTCTGTTTAGCAGAAATGCAATTATGAATTAAGATTATGTCAGGAGAGGGTAAGAAAATATTTTTATTGCTGCAGTTTTCAGATGTCAGCATTTTTTTTTTCAGTGCCACTTGCTACATGAGAGGGTCAGGTAAAGAAATCATCAATTTATTTAGCACTACATTGTTTGAAAAATGCAAAGGAAGCCTAACATTTTGAACAAGAGCACAGTTCTTACCCACAATGCTCCCCAATGTGTCGTTCATGTGAAAGCTTCCTCAGAAGAATCTCCAGAATTAGTCAAAGGGGTCTTAGCATAAAAAGTTAATATAATGTATTGACCCTTTCTGTCAAAAGTAAAAAAAAAGTTGTGGCAAAGAAAAGATATGATACATCCCCAGATGTAAATGCAGTAGTGTGCCATTTAAAGTCATATCAGCACATCCAGGATAGAGAGGGATGTGTTGCTTTTCAATACACAAAGGTGTTATTTTAAAATATGTTTAAAGATTTATTTTAAATTCTGTGTATGTGTCTGTGTCTGTATGTGGGTATGTGCACATGAGTGCAGGAGCTCACAGAAGCCAGAAGAGGGTATCAGGTCCCCCGGAGCTAGATTTACAGATGGTTATGGGCTACCTGATGTGGGGGCTAGAAACCAAACTTGGGTTCTCTGCAAGAGCACTATGTGCTCTTAACCATGGAGCCATCTTCCTAGCCCCAAAGGGGTCGTTTTTAATATGTGACTGACAATGACTAAACATAATTTTTGAAGGGGGAGAGAAACCAACCTAAATAATTGATTCAAAATTAAATATAATGTACCTTTACTCATAAAAATTAGGTGTCACTCTTCAGAAGGCCTGGAACAATACAATAATGATCTGTGGGGGCCACTGAATTCCAAGGAAAGAAAGCAAAGCTGAATCCCATTTTCAACACAATTCTAACACAACTCTTGCTCTTATTTTGGTGCTTTTTATCATGTGTATAGCTTTTAAATTATAGTAGCTGTATTACATGGTAAAAAAAGCCACAAAAAGCATCTGTGCATTCTTTCAGTTCAGACAAATTAGTGAGTGATGAAAATAAGGATATTTACAAAGATTTGAAAGCCAGATGTTCGACACAGGCAAGCAGCTTACCTTTTTCTTGCGCAGTCTGACTTGGCTGTCTGTGGGCTCCTGGGTGGTCACCGGGTCCTTTAAGTGTAAACACTGCATGCCATCTTCTGTGTTGACCTCGGGAGGGCTTTTGTTTTCATGTTCTGAGAAGCCATTCTTCTCCAGGTCATTTTCTGCTGACTTTCCACTGGGGCAGGAAGGAGGCTGTGGAAGGTGGCTTCCACAATCTGCTTCTAATAATGGCAGCCCTTCGTCTGCACAAGGAGCAGTCAACGACTCATCTTGTCCTACATGGCTGCTGTTTCTTTCTTGTTCCCCCTTAGGGAAGTCAGGTTTTCTTCGTTGTTGAGCGATTACTGCAGAATTAAGCAATTGTTTCTCAGGTGCGAGATCTTTCACATCCCAAGAATCAAATATATTTACTTTGGGCACATCTCTTACTTCACTTAAGCTTCTATCATTACAAATCTCCAAACTTTTATTTATTGCATCAACATCTTTCCTTTCCCTGCTTTTTTCTGCTGGAGACACAATAACTTCCCCCGTCATCCCCCAGGAGTTAAGATTGTCTTGGTTACTTTCTGTGACAGGCAGTGTCTTGATGAAGGAGCCTGCTCCTTCCACACTATGGTGGCTGTCTCTTTCATGTCTTTGGGGAGTTATAATCCGTGTGTCATTGGTAAGGTACACATCAGAATCTGTGTCCTCATCAGAAATGTGCACCAGTGTTTCTGTGCTGGCCTCCAGAGACAGAAACTGCTCTTCCCCTTCTTGACTGTCACTTTCATCCACCTCCTTTGAAATCTGACCCATTGGCCTTCCGGGAAAATCTCTGGGCTCTGACACATGACAGCAGTCTGGTAGGGAAGCACACTTCTCTTTGTGGTCCACATTTAGGCTTGCATCTTTCTCCATACTCGCCTGCAAGCTGTCGGCTACCAGTCCATGATGACATGCTATGTCACACTCATCAGAATTAAAAGGCTGTCCGGTTTTCTGGGTCACATGCTCTTCCCAGCTTCTCTTTCTGATAGCTACAGACATGTCATCATAATGTAATGACAGACACAGAGATACATTCCATATGAGGCTCAAGGAGACTGAACTTGGTGAAAGATGCCTTCAAATTCATGGGCCAAAGAAGAGAGGATGCTCTGTCATTTTGCCACCTGTAGAAAAAATTAAAAAATATGCACTTATGACATATATACGGTATATATACATGGTGATATGTAATGGCAAACAGAGCATCTCATCTAATCTATGCTGTTGAAGCAGAGGTAAGAGATATAATAAAGCCTCTGTTTAATAGCTTTAATCATGTTGTTTAAGAATCAGTCGACTATTAGAAGAAAAATTTACATTTAGTGTTTTTGTCAAAATTATCAATATTAAAAAAAAAACAGTTGATCTGGTTTACTGATGAATAAAGCTATAAATGCCAAGCATTTAAAACTCCATTGAGAATTGAACTATTTGGATTACAATACTTAATAAAAACTGCTGGAAATAGGCCGGGAGTGGTGGTGCACGCCCATAGTCCTAGCAGTTGGGAGGCAGAGGCAGGAGGATCTCTTTGAGATCAAGGCTAGCCTGGTCTACATAGTGAGTTCCAGGACAGCTGGGGCTACAAGGAGACCCTGTCTCAAAAAGAAAAAAAAATTGCTGGAAATAAAACTTGTTGCCCTGGATTGCATGCTTTCCTGGTTTACTTTTGTGAACAAAAGTCATTAAGGAAATCAATTTGCTGTTTGGTTTGAATTGCAACAAAGGCCACAAGGGAACTCCTGCAAAACTTGAGCTACAGAGGCAGGCGGCATGTGCAATGCATTAGTGTGTAACAGATCACATGCTGATCCCAGTGACCAGGATGTATGTACCCCAGGGAGGGACTGAGGAACACAAAATAATCCAGTTCAGCTCAGATTAAGTCACAATTCATGGATAAGAAAGCGTAGCACACATCATTGACAAGGCATCAGTATTGTCGAAACCTAAAAGTATCTTGTAAATGTTCAAAGCTGTCTAGGAAGGGAGCCCATCTTCAAATTAAGGCAGGCTTTTAAGGCACAGGCTCAAATAACGAACGACATTCACTGTCTCCATGGAATTATGGGATTTTTACCTTCATCCATCTCCCCATGTCCTTTACTGTGTATAAACTCTAACTTCCCTCCATAAAATAATTCAAGTGAATTGAAAAGAATATGCGAGCTCATTAAACCATCAGTCCAAACACTCAAGCCTCCTCTTTCATCTGAAAATTTTAGTTCACACTTTTCATTTTAGGACTTGGATCATAAAAGTTTAAGCAAACAAAAAAGGCATTTGTAAGATAAGGTAAGATTATAAGTACTTTATAGTCATCCTTTTGCCTTGAATTTTTCAAACTGGTTAAAGGAAACAAGTTGTATCAGTGTGAAGGTCAACCTTATAAAATTGACTAACTCAAATGTTAATCCACAATGAAAATAAATGGCCAGACTGTGAATGAAAAATCCCATTCAAAGAGCAGATATTTTCAGTTTCTGGGCTGCACAGGAGCTGCCAGCATGTGACATTGCCTTCAGCCATAAACCAAATTAACTGCTGGGCTGGCTTTGGTTCAGTCTTTTGAAAAGGACTCTGACTCCCCACAAAATATTTCAAATTATTCTGACTAAGCGTGTGCTTAAAAGGTAAATAGTCCCACCCTATAAAGATGGGTGAAGTTAAGACACGTACTAGCATTTTGGTACCCTGACCTGACCAAATATCTTTCTGGACACAGTTTGGTTCCCTTAGAGGTCTGTGGCCATCTTTGAAAATGGCCAGCATTCACATTTTCCGTGTTGGCATTAATCTTGTACTAAAAAGGAAAATATAAAGCTTCTGAATTCCATGCATAAGTCATTATGGTGTGGGAGGCTACGGAAAGTGGAAAGCATGCATAGACGCAGGCCAGAAAATTTCTGCTTTCATGGGCAAATTTGGGTTGTAATAGGGTGGGTCTGTTTCAGATGCTTTCTTTTTCTTATTTTTATCCAGTGTAGAAGGAACAGGCTAACCTAACATATGCCAAGTGCTATTACTTTGCCATTCCTAAGCCACATTTATGTTTAGGTTGAGTCTGAATTCTAGGTTCATTTCTTTTACTGAGGACAAATATAGTTCTATGTGTTCTTTGGAAAAAGGAATATGCAATATTTTTTTTCCTTTAAGAGCTTATGGCAGAATTAACTCTTTAACTCAATCTTGGCAAGTATGTAAGTGTTCCTGTTATGTCAAATGACAGTACTACAACAAATTCTGAGATGATCGAATTGCACAAACAGATTGTGAATTAGTTAGGTTCAATATAGTGTTACCTCTGTTCTGATTTCTAATCTAGATGCTTTGGGCATTTTCAAATAATTTTTATTATCAAAACGTTTCCTAATTATCTTTATGGTCACTACTACTTTATTTTAAATAATAAATCCATATTCTGTGGCATGATAGATTTTTTAAATACCCCATCTCCATCATCTTTCCTATATGCACTTCTCATTTGAATTGTTTTTAAAATTCATTAAATCTTCTTATTCAAGAAATTACTGAATATATATATAAGCATTAGGGTATTGTCAGTACATCTGAGCTTACTGGCCTCATTTTCTAAAGCAAAATAGTCTTTCTAAAAACTGAACTCTCCCTATGGAATTCCTCCCCAATTTGCCTTACTTAAAATTACATTTCAAACTATTGACCACTTTTCTGCACATTCATATTACATTTCTTTTCTAATCCTTTTCATGAAGTTTCATTCAAAATGAGCTCATTCTCGGAGGATTTGGATGATGGATCTGGAAAAGTGTGGGTCATTCCAGGGTGCTGATTTTATGAAGTGAATTTCCATAGAGATTTTTTACTTCTGAAATGCATGTGTTCAAACACCAACACATTAGTCTTAGAAGACTCTATTTACTCACAGGTATACAGTGGACCTAGAAAATGTTTGTGAAGTGTTCAAAGCCACTTTCTCTGACATTGGTGCATAAGATGTATAGATAGGAAGTAATTCTGATTTTATTCTTTGGTTTACTTTTATAATGCTGCTTCCTAATGTAAGTATTTTATGGCATACAATTAAACACAATGGAATGTTATGGCATCTAAAAATGAGAACTGGAAGCATTCTGCTTTGAGAATCACTGGCCAATTTGTGATATTAAATAATCATGCTTTATCCATACATCTTGAAATTTGACTTGCCAGGGAGAAGAAGAGCCTTGATTGGTTGTCAGTCTATAACCTGGAAGCAGAAGGCATGAATAAGACCCCCATGGCTGAAACACAGTGTGTAGCAGTCTAGAGTTGACAGCAGCTGAGGCATAGCATTGGTCAGCATTTATATCATGGCTAAAGAATGCCAGACATGATGAGCTCCAGGAATACAAAAATATTCTGTGTTTCTGATTACAACTGCAATTTAATGGAAGAAACTCATGTCAACAAAAACAATGCCATAGCCAAAATATCATTGATAGATACCAATATCATGAAAGGTTTAGCAGGAAGTCAGACTGAGCACCTCCTTGCCTGTCTTCCCTTCCTCCTTCCTTTCTTCTTGAATCGACACCAAAGGCAGGAGATGGTGGGTATGTTAGGTAAATCTTTACAAAATGAAATACTCTCTCGTACATTTTTTGTCTCTGCAGTATCTAAGTCCAATGGTAAGTCTGGTAGTTTCTCACTAGATCGAAGAAATCTTCCTTTCTCTGTGCTTCCAGAGACTTGCTATTCTAGGACACCTCTTTGGGAAAGATAGCAGAGGCAACAGCAAACACTAGAGAATTATTTACAACTTCAAATCTCATTAGTCACCATGGATGGCAATGTAATCTCTCAGGAGCATTTTGGAAAAACTGAGGGGAAATATTTTCAAAGTTCATTGTGTGTGTGTGTGTGTGTGTGTGTGTGTGTGTGTGTGTGTGTGTGTGTGTGTGTGTGCACATGCTAATGGGTCATAATAAATTTCATTATTTTGTGTGTTCATTTAAAATAAATCAGACAACGTGCTGGGAACAGGGGCCACGTCTTTAGATCAAAGAGAATCCGAGTACGCGCTAGGACAAGGAAGAAATATTGACTGTATCCAGAAACATCACTGTGAAATTTCAGAACAGAGGGCAAAAGCAAAGTATCCTAAATATTAAGATAAATAAGAGATTGTGTTTTAGGAAACAGGAGGTAGCATGTTAGACTGCTCAGCATTAATAGTGAAAATAAAACGGCAAGACAGTATGCATTAAAAAATTGGATGGGAATTTTTTTCGACTTTTACAAGGGAATTATACAGGGGATTTTATTTCTTTTGTCAACCTATGTTAAGAAGCTGCTGGAGATATAGATGCTGTAACGAGAAAACCAAGAACTCAATACAAATGTCCATGGAATGTAATTTCTAGGATGGAAATTTATTTAGTAAGTCTTTATAAGAATTGTCCCTAAGAATAATTTTTGAAAAAGAAAGATGTGTATACTAAGAGAAATTTTACGTAGTGATGGACAATTTGGGTGAAGGAATTATTAGTAGCAAGAATAACAAGGAATGTAAGAGGAACCAGTTATAAACGCTAAGAAAAGCAGTTTTATAAGACAGAAAATGCAATCATATATACTATCTGAATAGCCTGCATCTTTATGTGGAGTCAAGATACCACAAATAAATAAATGCTCACTGACAACAAAAACTGGGAAATAACTATTTTGGAGCACAAGGTTTTGTGAGGGGTGGAACTAGAGATATTGGGAAGAATAGCTGTAGAGATAAATCCTCATTTTGTATTGGAGAAAATTAAGTGGTAATGTCTAAAATGGAAAAAAATATTATAAATCTATATATTGTTTAGAAATAATGAGGTAAATATAAAATGTAATAAGCAATATAAACTCAGAATATAAATATAAAAATAATTAATAGAAAATCATTCATAATGTGATTTTTGTTTGCATTTTCTTGAGATAGAAAAAGTCTTACTTATAAATCTTAGAAATATCATTAACTAATAATCTAATCATCAAGAAAACAAATGACCCAATTAAAAGATGGGCTAAAGATCTAAACAGAGAGTTCTCAAAGGAAGAAATAAAGATGGCTAAGAAACATCTTAAAAAGTGTTCAATATCATCAGTAATTAGGGAAATG